GGCCCAGAAATCAGGATTTTAAAAAGATTCCCAGGTGATTCTAATGTGCAGCCAAGGTTGAGAACCACTGAGTTAGAGGAAGGAGGGAATGGGAAGTGACTGCTAATGGGTACAAGGTTTCCTTTTTGGGATGATGGAAATGGTCTGGAACTAGATAGAGGTAGTGGTTGTGTAACATTGTGAATGTACTAAATGCCACTGAATTGTACAACTTATTTATTTATTTTAATATATTTTTGTTGATTTCAGAGAGGGAGAGATAGAAACATCAATTATGAGAAATATTGATTGGCTGCCTCCTGCATTCCCCCTTCTGGGGATTGAGCCTACAACCAGGGCATGTGCCCTTGACCAGAATCGAACCCGGTACTCTTCAGTCCTCAGGCTGACATTCTATCCAAATCAACTAGGGCTTGTACACTTTAAATGGCTAATTTTATGGGACTTTTACTTCAGGAAAACAAATGGCTGGAATTAGAGTGGTTTTCTGGAGAGAAAACCCGTCTCTTTTAAAAAAAAAATTTTTATTGATTTCAGAAAGGAAGTGAGAGGGAAACATCAGTGATGAGAATCATTGATCAGCTGCCTCCTGCATGCCCCCTACTGGGGAATTGAGCCAGCAACCCGGTCATGTGCCCTGACCAGGGAATTGCACTGTGACCTCCTGGTTCATAGGTCGACACTCAACCACTGAGCCACACTGGCCGGGCAAAACAGAGTCTCTTTTAAGGAGACATCTTGGTTTAGGACAAGGCACTAAACAGGCATGCCGACTCTGAAAGATGAGTCAACAGGGTAAGGGGGCAGAGAGAAAGAGGCATTTGGCTTCGAGATAAGGCTTCTGGGAGGATGTGGCCTGTAGGAATGCTGGACTTTGAAGGACAGCAAGGCCTGAGCCTTGATTTTGGTTTCCCCCTGGGCATAGAGAACTCCAGCACCCACAACAGCTTCGGGGCAGGGGGCTTTGGAAGAAAGGAAGGAGTAGAAAGAGAGAGGTCACTGGCTCCAGGAGGAGGGAGGTGTCCAGAAAAATAAGAGCTATGCAGAATCCCAGATATTTCAGGGTGGCGTTGGACTGCCTACTGTGCGAGGAAGAAGATTCAAATAATTTTATTTTTATATGAAGGAAAATACGGGCCCAGAAAGCGGGAGAATCCAGGGACACCAAGACCTCAGGCACTTGGGGACTTGCAGGCCGGAGATCACATTCAGACACAACCCCACAGTTACTCCCATCACACCCAGTCACAGTGTGAGGCAGAGCATGCTACACACACTACACTCCCCAGAGTATCTATGTGGGAAGAAGTGTTCCTGGGTGGGCAAGGGCCTGTTCTGGGAGTTGGGAGGCCTGGATCCCAGTCCTGGTGCCTGCTCGGCACATGGCCCACTGTGACCTTGACCAAGTCTATTTTGCAATCTGGACCTTATTTTCTCCAAATGGGAATGGGCAGGATATGGTAAATGTGTGTCTTTCATATATAGATATGTTCAAGCATGATGCACTCAGACATATGCAAACTGCATAAATGCTCTTTTTAAAAAATATCTTTTTATTGGTTTCAGAGAAGACGGAAGAGGGAGAGGTAGAAACCTCAATGATGACAGAGAATCATTGATTGGTTGTTTCCTGCACGTCCCCTACTGGGAATCGAGCCGGCACCCCAGGCATGTGCCCTGACCGTGACCTCCTGGTTCATAGGTCGACGCTACACCTGCTGGGCCATAAATGTTCTTAAAAGCGACCTAGGTAAGTAAGGCCACTCAGGCATATGTCACAGTCAGGCACATAATTACACACAACTGCACATAGGCTAAAATACACTGACATATATAGATGTACACAATCACAGACATAAACACAAATATCTAGTCATATTATCACAAAGATAACAGCCACACCTAGAGAGAAAACCACCGAAACGCAGTCAGACACACGGACACACAGTCACACAAATACAAGCTTACAGTTACACAGACAAGAAACAACAAAGACATTCAGCCACACTTAGGACCAGTCACCGACAGTAACACAACCACTCAGTCAACAGTCCCAACGCCACAGGCATAGTCAGTCCCACCCACATTCAGATACAGTCACTCAAGCACATGGACACACAGAGATGCAGGGAACCACCGAGCGCAGAGAATCGCACCAGGCCACACACAGTCACACACTGTCACCTGCGGCGACCCGTGCTTCGGGACAGACCGGCAGACAGGTTGGGCTGAGGTGGCCCGTCAGAGCCCACCTGCTGCTCACATACTCCGCACCCCATTAGAGGAGACCTCCAGGTCTGGACTTATTTTTCTCCTGCCTCAGTTTCCTTCTTTAACCCCTAATCCCTTCGCACACGCCTCCTGCAACTGGCCAACCAAGAGGGGGCCGAGCCCCCTCCTAGGGCCAATTAGAGCAGGAATACAGGTGGCCAATCGGGTTGGCAGACTCGTGTGTGCGTGCGTGTGTGCGTGCGTGTGCGCGCGTGTGTGTCCCTCTCCCTCCCCTTCTCTCTCTTTTCCTCCCTCCTCTCTTTCTCTCTCCTCCCGCCCCCCCTAACTCCCCCTCTTTTCCTGTTTTGCTCCTTAAAGGAGCTCTCGTTCCTCGGTCTGTGTCCGCGGCTCCCTGGGACAGGCCTGCCATTGCTCCTTTAAAAAGCAGGCCCGTGAAGGAGCCCGTCTGGGGACGAACCAATGAGAACCTCCCCTTCTCTCTCTTTCCCTCCCTCCTCTCTTTCTCTCTCCTCCCGCCCCCCCTAACTCCCCCTCTTTTCCTGTTTTGCTCCTTAAAGGAGCTCTCGTTCCTCGGTCTGTGTCCGCGGCTCCCTGGGACAGGCCTGCCATTGCTCCTTTAAAAAGCAGGCCCGTGAAGGAGCCCGTCTGGGGACGAACCAATGAGAAGCCCCATTCGGCCTCCGCCCCTCCCACCCCGCCCCCCGCCGGAGGTCAAAAGCCTCCGTCAGTTGTTCCTTGGCCCGTAAAGGGAGCTGGAAGGCGCTGGCTGGGGACTGGCCAGAGGGGCTAGGGGCG